CATTCCCCTGTGAAAGCTGTGTTCCTCCTTCAGGTCCAAATGTTCCCTCCTCTGTGGTAAACCCTAGCAAAGTGCCCAGAACAGAGTAGCTTTGTCAAAGGTGAATGATGTGGAACGAATGGATAGCTTCATACCCCTTATATAATCCCATAGGTAAAAGTGGGGTTTGGGGGCCAAATTGTCCAGACTTAAGTGCCAGCTTCAGCCTTAATCACTGTGTGACTTGAGACAGGCATCCTTTTCCTCTTCTACAAATAGGAAAAGAGAAGGTGGAGAAGATCAACTAGATTCTTCACATAGTATCTGGTACACGACAAGGACTGCCAGCCTGTTTGTCTCCCACATAGCCACCTTAAAGAGAGGGACTGGGTCTCTATCCTTGAACCTCCAAATTTTGGTAAAGAAATTGATGCACAGCAGATGCTCAGTCAATCTTTGTTTCATTGACTTGAACCCGATACACATCACAGGACAGGCACTCAACGGAGGGCTCGGGGAGGCCAAAGGTCAGAGAGGCAATTTCTGCTTATGGAAACAAACAAACTGTGTGTATATGTGTGTGTACATATGAACACACATGTATTTGAGGTGGAGGGAGGGGAAGATGAGAACCTGAACTGGCTGTCAAAGTCTGGGCAGGATTTCACCAGAGAAACGTGGAAGGTGGCAGAGGGTGAAGGTGTATGGTGATGGGGCTGGTTGGGGTGTGTCAGACAATAGCTACTCTAGGTCAAAGTTACTGTTAGGGAAGACATGGCAGCGGGTGTGTCAAGGTCCACCCACTAGGGTGGAGCTACTCCAGGGGGATTTGCAAAGGAGAATTGTGGAGAGGACCTGGGGAAGATGAGGGGGCCAGCTCCACACCTCCTCACACCTCCAACTCAGGTGAGGACATCAGCGGGTTGTCACAGTGTGATGTCACATCCTGATGTTCACTAGAACCCAGCGGATGAAGGGCCCTCTCTTATGAAACTTGCCTTCTCGTTTGGTCAGCAATAGGAAACCATAGATAGCAGATATTTAATTACAGTGTAGATCAGAGAGAGACTATGGAGGAGACTGGGGTGGAGAGGACAGTGCTAGGCTGAGCCACTGTCTCAGACCAGGTGGCCCCTGAAGCATGTACTTGAGAAGAGGTGTAAAGGGGGTGAAAGAAGCTGTGGAGAGCTGGGAAAGAGCATCTTAGGTGGAGGCAACAGTCACTTAGATGTCCCAAGGTGGGCCCAAACATGGTCTGTTTAGGGAGAAGTACTCAGGTCTGTGTGGCCTGATCGGAACATGCTAGGAGATGAAGGCCAACAAAGATAGAGAGACTGTGCCACATGTGGCTTTCTCTCCAAGGGGCAGAGAAAGGTGGGAGGGCTGAAGGGGGAGAGAGGTGACCAGCCTGCACGGGCCACTGAGGGAGGGTAAGGGCAAAGCCAGAAAGCCACTTTCTGGCCATGGCCAGAGTCCAGGAGGGTGGTGACTTACACTAGGACACCAGCAATCCATATGGCAAGGGGAGAGAGAGAGAGAGAGAGAGAGAGAGAGAGAGAGAGAGAGAGAGAGAGAGAGAGTGTGACTCACATAGGCTGAAGATATAGCTGGCACTCAGCCATAGGGTGTGACAGGAAGAAAAGTCCTAGAGGGCCTCAGTCTGGGGTGCATGCTACCCTGCCTGTGTGGTTGATTACTTTCTTTCAGTGAGTTTAACAATGAGTCAGGCACACATATGACTTGTATGGAACAACAGGTAACGCCCATCCCCTCCCCTAAGGAAACAGACAACGCTTAAGTGGAGCCACAGGTGTTGCCTGCCTAACTGCCTAATGGCCCCTATGCCCAGAACACAGCAGGGACACGTGTGGAAGGGCACGTAGCAGAGCCTTAGGATGCACATTTCTGAAACCTGCTGACTTCTGATCTAGACAAGACTTGCTCAGCAGGGCCAGATGAAAATCTGATGGTTATCCACCAAAAGTCAGACTGGTAGCCCAGTCTGGACCTGGTAGAGAGGGTGTCTGAGAGTACTCAGTCCCGTCCTGCAAATATAAACTAAGCTGGTAGCAGAGGGGCCTTCAATGATCCTTCAGTAACATCCAGGCACCAGGGACTTTGAGTTTCTTTATAAACAACAAAGATGAGGAAAGGCAGATGGGGTACTGAAGTTTAAAGCATAGCCATAGCCAGACATGAGGGGCTTGACACAGAAAATGTTCAACAGGGCTGTAGACTAGGAAGGGGGCCAGACTTGATGGGTGCCCCCAGGGCTCTGCCCCCTCAGCTCACAAGACTCTCTAGTTCTGATTGACAGTAGCCATAAAGAAGGTTTGCTAAGAACAAAGCTTCTACCTGGGTCCTCCTAGTCCACAGCCACACCCAGAACAAAGGTCTCCAACCTTCCACAGCCCACTGCTCCCTTGCTCTGGTGGCTTGTCTTTTAGGAGGGGTAGAGAAATGGTCTCATTTTAGTAAACAAACCATGGCTACAGGCACAGAGCTGGTTTTAGAGTGCAAGGAGCCCCCTCCCTCCCATTCTCAGTGATTTTAGCTCATAAGAAAGGTTTTCCTCTGCACTATGATTTGATTAGATTGCTTCTCACACCAAAAAATAATGCTCTGAAAAAAGGCTGGGGGAAAATTCCCACTGTGCCATTCCTGGGCATTTCGAATAGGGGAAGGTACAACAAAAGAAAAGACATATCCCATTTTCAGGGCGTGTCGCGGTGCCTTATGAACTGAGCTGGTTTGTAAATGATTTCATTTGGAAACTTCCCGTTTGCAATTTGTTCATTTTTTCAATGAGAACTACATGATTTGGCAAACATGAAATGGAACCATTAAGCCCCAACAAAGTTGGAGGCTGCGTGTGCCCTGTGCTCCCTTCTGTTCCACAAATCGGGGGTTCCCACAGAAGGCACTCCAGAGAGATGCCATCATGGGGTGCTGCCTGGAGGAGGGCTGCACCTCCATCAGCAAAATGCATACAGCTTAATCCAGACGGCTAATCATCCATCCCACTCTACCAGCAATGCACGCAAATGTAAACACAGTGAAACCTGAATTCAGGCTACAGTTAATAGCATTCAGTTCCCTGGTTTGGGCAATGTGCTGTGGTTAGAGAAGAATGTCCTGATGGGAGAAGATGGACAGGGATACATAGGGCTTTCTTTACCACTTCTGCAACTCCTATGTAACTTCCTATGACTCTATGATTAATGTCAAACAGTTTTCAAGATGCCAACTGTTGGTTTGATGGTAAGTGGACCAGAACTGTGGACACATATGGCTGTACATGTTCAAGTTTTATTACATACACCATCATTTTGCGGCCAAACCAAGAACTCACCATAACCATTGCTTCTCCAGAAATCATGTCCCAAGGGAGACAAGAAAAGTGAGTCACTAGAGGAAGAACATGAAGCATGTATCCTTAACTCACCTTGGCCCCCAAAATTCTCCAGAAGACTAGAGATGTCAGAAGTGGCCTATGGAAAGTCTGCTCTCATGGGCCATGGAATTCCTCCACCTGCTAAGCCAGCCTGGGAATCTGGCCACAGTCACAACAGGATCAAAGTCCTATCCACAGTCCCACCCCCTGGCCCAGAGATGCATGTTGTAGGGTGCATCAGAGTCTCTAAAATGCTCACTCCATTCCACCCCCAATCCCAGGTAGAGGAATACTGTTTATAACAGGAACACTAGATAATTCTGTTGTAGGTACTCATGGGATGGAAATAATACCAGACCTCGGTATGGGCCTGGCCTGCCTGACTCCACAAGAATGAGATGAGGAGAGCAAGCAGGTGGTCAGCATCCCCAGAGCCAGTGCTTTCCTTCCCATGAGAGGATTTCAGATCCACTTCTAAGTGCGAGCCACAGTTCTCCAGCCCTGGGGTATAGAGAGGCCATGACACAACCCAGGAGTCTTGGCTTGGGTCTTTTGGGGGCTGCTCCCTTGAGCAGGATAAAACTTGGAATTTGGATTCTACCAGCACTGTGGCAGTTTGATGCTGAGGGCTGGTGATGTGCTAAGCAACTCCATCTCATTTAATACTCATCACTTTATTCTGAAAGAATGAGATATTAGCTCAGTTTACAGGTAAGGAAACTGAGGCTCAGAGAGTTCAAGTTACATATACAGAAAGTGGCAGAACAGAATGAACCCACCCTGTCCTGTAGTTTCCTTCTGGGTCCCTTGTCTCCTCCAAGGTGAAACATTCTAATTACAAATAAGAGAAACCACAAGTGTTTGGTGGGGACAGGTCATGGACAGGAGGTAGAGTTTCCTGGTGCCTGTTTCCGGGGCATTAATGTTCCTAGGCAACGACAAGCAGATCTAACCCTCTCCAAGGCTCCCCTCCATGGCCACTTCTTCCCTTCCTGTCTTTCATCTTCCTTTCTTTTTTTAAAAAATATTTTATTATTTTTATTTTTTATGCATATGCGTATATTGCCTGCATGTAGGTAAGTGCACCTGTGTCGTGCAATGCCCGCGAAAGACAGAAGAGGCTGTTGGATCCCCTGGAACTGGAGTTACGGACAGCCGTTAGCTGCCATGTGGGTGCTGGGATTTGAACCCGGGTCTTCTGCAAGAACAACCAGTGTTCTTAACCCCTGAGCCATCTCTCCAGACCCTCATCTTTCTTTCTAGTCTTTCCTAATCTTTCTCCTCTTTTTCCCTTTTCTACTTTGCTCATTTTGTCACCTAATTCCAAAATAACAGACATTATATGCCTCTCTGTTTTTCTCGTCTCCCTGTTGGTAACATAAGAATTTGCTCCTGAGGCCAACAAGATGGCTTAGTAGGTAAAAGTGCTTGCTGCCAATCTTGATGACCTGAGTTCAATCCCTGGGACCAACACATGGAAGAAGACAACTGACTCTGACCTCTGTATTGGTATGATCCCACCACACACAAATAAATAAATGTGATAACAGTAATAAAACAGAATTTGCTCCTGCTGTCCTGTGAGGACAGGGCCCATCTGAAAACACAGAGTGTACAAGTAACCTACCACTTTCCAGAGGACACTGTGGGATCCTGTTGGCCCAGAGATTCCACAGAAAATCCACGTTCCACTCGAGGCACACCTGATGATCCTTGAAGGGGCGTTCGAAAGGTGGGACTGTCCGCAGCAGGGTGTAATTCTTTGCCACAGCGTGTAGCAAGTTCTCCTCCCCCCGGACATTCAAGCCCCCACTGCTGTGTCTGTGGGTGATCCAGGCCCGTAGTATCACCGTGGAGACAGAGATGGAGTGTCTGATGAAGTAATCGTCTCTGTATACCATGATGCTTGGGAACTTCACGCGCACTATCTGCGTCCTGCTAATATGAAGGTGTTTCTCATTCATCCACCTCTTTTTGTAGACGGGGATGCTACTTCTGAACTCGGATGAAACAACCGCTTCCAAATTGACAACACAGGGCTGAGAGCATAAATACTCCACCGAGACTTCAGAGACGTTGCTCACGCTTCCTTCAAAGGCAGTAAAATAAATAAAGTCTGTGTATGTCGCACTCTGCTCTGCCCTGGGCAGCACCAGCGTTGTCAGGGAAGTCTGTCTGCCCAAAGACGGAACAAAATTCTGAAAAGAAGAGGAAAAGTAAAAAAAAATCATCGTATTGGGACTGGAGAGGGCTCAGCGGTTAAGAGCACTGACTGCTCTTACAGAGGACAGAGTTCAGTTCCCAGCACCCACACGGTGCCTAACAACCATCCATATCTCCAGTTCCAGGGGGTCTGACACCCTCCTCTGGACATGGTTCACTTGCATACACGTGTATGCATACACATATAATAAAAATACGCATACATAAATAAAATTATGTATACTTGCATATACATAAACTGAAAATAAATAAAAAATTTAAAAATCCTACTTAAAAATCATCATATTAACTAACACATGGGTGACTTTCCCAAGATTAAAAACCACTGATCTGCACAAAGCAATGAATGTAGATGGTGAGAGATGTGGAGCACACTGCTGAACCACTGGAGAAAAATCAACACACACGCAAATGAAGACTGGGCCACATTAAAGTCTCTCCCCAGGCTCGGGAGCATCTGTTGATGAAAATGTGACTTTCAAAGCTACGCGGTAACTCTTCCGGAGTCAGCATCCAAATGGAGGGGCCGGTCCCTGACAAATCAGTATCAAAAGGGACCTGACTTAGGATGAAAAAGAGACAACCAGATTCAGACATTTTCAGACCACTTCAAATGGTAGCCAGATGCTGTCACATCAAAGGGTGGGAGAACAGTTCAAAGGGCATCGCCAGGGAGCATAAAGGGAAGGCTGGCCTGGCCTCTTTAGCTCCTGTAAGCGCCAGACCAGGACAAACACACACGGGACTGGCCAGCAGTAGGTCTCCACTGCTCAGAGTCACACGGCCTTGGACCAGGAGCTGCTGTTCTCGTTCTTTCACCACGTACAGCAGGACAGGTGCCCACAAAGGTTTGAGCTGTGTACCCACTCAGCTGCTGCTTTAAATGACCAAGCCCTCTCACTGTGAACATTTCGTCCTAGAAGAAACCTGAGAAGTTTAGTCACAAAATCAAGGCAATGGTTTGAGTGTGAGGTTCTGAACGAGGGGTGGCGGGAACAATTCTCCATACAACTTTGTGACCCAGGTGTCCAGAACGGCATAGCCATTTCATATGGGTAAGGAAGCAAAGAAAGGAAAACAGAAAGCAAATGCAAGTGACGGTGTGGAGAAACTGGGACTGCTGCGCACTGGGGTGGGAGTGTAAAATGGTTCAGTTTCTATGAACATTATGTCCTTTTCTGTTTTTAAATTAAACATATAAGCATCATATGGTATGATCCAGTGATTTCTCTTCTGAATATATACCCAAAGAGTCAAAAGCAAGAACTTGAAGAGATATTTGTATGCTGATATTCACAGCAGCATGATTCCTAATGGCTAAAAGCAACTTGAGCATCCACCAGTGGGTGAATGGCTAAAGAAAAGTGTCTACATGCACCACAGCACAATGTGATTCTGCTATGTATAAAGCGGACAGCCTTGCAGACATGTGAAGTGAAATAAGACATGCACAAAGTGGGCAGTATTGCATGATGCTTTACTGTAGGATGGAGGAGTCAGACTCATGGGACAAAGTAAAAGAGGGGTTTGCCAAGGTCTAGTGGGGGCTGAATGAGTCGTTAATGTTGGGGTTTCAGTGTGGGCTGATGAAAATGTATTGGAGGTAGAGAGTGGTGATGGTTGTACAACAATGTAAGCTTACTTAACACTACTGAACTCTGCACTTCAAAATAGCTAAAATGGTAAGCTTTATGGTATGAACATTCTATCATAATTTTAAAGACAAAGTCATTTCACTTGCCAGATATTTATACATATCTGTGTTCCCCAAACTAGGAAGACAGAGACAGGAAGATCTACCAAGTTCAAGTCCAGCTTAGGCTACACAGTGAGCTCTAGACCAGCCAGAGCTTGCCTTTGAAAAAAAAAAAAAAAAAAAAAAAAAGGAAAAAGAGGACTGGTGGGTCCTCCCAGATGGATGACCCATCTTGCCCACCACTCTGGGGTGGGGTCATCTCTTCTCTTTCAGCTTCACCAAAGTACATACTTGGGATCAACCAAATTAAAAGAGTACTTAGCGCTCTTGCAGAAGACCCATGTTTGGTTCCCAGCACCCATATGATAGATGACACCTGCCTGTAACTCCAGGTTTAGGGGATCCAACACCCTCTTCCGACCCCAGTAGGCTCCTGCACGCACATGGTGAACATACATACACTCAAGCACACACACATAAAACAATATATATATATATAAAGTGAGTTGGTAATATATGCATTCCCACACACATATACAAAATAAATTAATGCAAAATGTTTAAAAATAAATGATACTTTAAAAGACAGAGCATGGCCAGTGGTCCAGTCAAACAACAAACAAGCTCCAAGGAGCTCGGCACCAGGGCTGCCACTGACTGGGGACCAGAGCAGCTTTCTGGAAGACGTGGTATTTCAGCTGGACTTTGAAAGATGAAGAGAAGTTCCTCATGTAACAATACAAGGGAAAGGCTGACAGTGGAATGAACAGCACACACAGGGATCCCATTTTTAACCTATTAGACTCCCAAGATCAAGGTCAGATTACACGCTCACTGACTGTAGTGTAAGAAGCAAACCCTCTTATCACCTCTGGTGGCAATAATCTGGCAATACAGCAATACTTACAAACGCATAAACGCAGGCACCCTCTGACCCAACAATTCCACTTGTTATCCTACAAATATCCTGAAATCTGTGGGAAACGGTATAAATACAGACTTTTCATGGCAGCAGTATTTGTAACAGCAGAAGATTAAAAATGTAAGTGTCCACTGCTGAAATTATAGTACTGCTGTCCTTGGAATACTATACAGTGATGAAAACACTCAAGCTTAATGGAATGATCCATTAAGGGTGTTTTGAGTTTGGGATTTTTGTTCTTGTCATTTTAAAGTATGTTCCAAAACAGCATATTGGGTTATAAAACACACACCCATAATGGTGTAAAAAATAATTAACCGGAATACACATAGCATAAGTTGCTCACATAGAACCTGGAAGATTGAAGTAACCAGAAGACAAAAGTGGAGGGAGCTATGCACTGTACTATACACCTATCTTCTGAATCTGCACAACATGAATATTCAAAGAGTAGAGAACAAACACCCTGAAAGGTGAAAATGGCGAGTGTGCTTTCCACAGATGGTAGACAGACTGGAAGGGCCTGCCTGCCTTTTCATTAATCACAGGAAACCTGGGGGAAGAAATCTGTCGAGTGGGGACAGTTCAAACTATGCACCCCCACAAAGACAGGTTTAATCGTTTTCTTCTCTAATTTATACTGTTAAATTACAGGAAGAAAAAAATAGAGAAATAATCTTATAGTGGGAAGTGGAGCCTATTGGAAGGAGGATCCCTCAGGGACAGCTGGCCCTCCCCTCACTTTTCAGATGAAGAAGGGGCAAGTTTCTGCATCTCCCACACTGCCCCACAGGTGGGCGAACAGTGGCAAGCCAGGAGTTCCTTTTCTTCACCTCCACTCCCAGCTGCTGCCCACCCCGAAGCTCATTACGGCAAGACAGAGAAACTTATGGCTGCCTAGGAACTCTGGGCAGCGTCCGGCTTTTGCACAAGGAGCCCGGCATTGGTCCACAGTGGGGATGCAGTCATTCAACACCCAATCAAACAGGATTCCTCAAAAGAGGATGATGCCGGTGATTGCTGGTGCCAGTGGACCAGGGTCAGAAGAGCAGCAGACAGGCGCCTTTTGTCATGGTGACACCCCAATGCTTCCCCACTAAATTCCACACAAGGAGCCTTTGGTTTGTTTAGTGAGACAGGACAAAGCAGCGCTCAGGGCTTGCCTCCGTACAGTACACAGCAGACCACATTCTCTTCCAAAGACTGACTACAAACCTCATTTTTTTACACCTTCCTAAAAAACTCACCCAGGCCCAATTTTCTTTTCTTTTTTTCTTTTCCTAGCATGTTTTTAATGCCCATGCTACAAACTCCAAGAGAAAACTCTTTTAAACAGAATGCAGGAGGAAAGCCATTTGATTTCACTGCAAAGTATGGTTACTAATAACCCTGTTCATTACTTCACATCTGATTGCTAAAAATGCACCCGTCACACTTTCCTGCATTAATAAGCGCAGCACACCGGGCATGGTTTCAGTTTGCCTGGCTTGTTACACCCGTCACATTGTGGCTGAGGGAAGTAGATTCACACCTCACCCTGCACCTCTCCAGGGCCTTCCCTCCAAATTCGGTTTCAAAGAAAATGTCTGGATACTCCAAGGAGGATTGTTTTATTTTCATCTGGTTCTAAGACTCTAGGGCAGCAGAGGTAAACCCAAAGGACAGAGATTCTAGACACATGCCCGCCAACATGCCAATCAGAAGGGAGATCAACCAATCGAGACATGCTGAAAATGTGAGATACATCCTTGCTGTTGAACAAAAGACTATGGAGTGTCTCGTTAATGATCTTGACAGCGATTGCATGTTGAAATGATAATATTTGGATACATTAAATTAAATAAAATACATTAAAATGAATCACACCTGTTCTTGTTTATTTTTTCAATGTGGCAACTACTGAATATAAAATTATAGCTGTGGTTAGAATTTTCAATGGATGGAGCTAGTCTAGATTTGAGGTCAGCAGACTTTTTCTATAAAAAATGGCCAAATGGTAACAAGAGCCATCCTTCAGTCTCTGCAGGGCATTGGCACCAGGACCCCCAACAATACCTGCAACCATGGATGTTCAGGTGCTTTAAACAATACAGAGTAACTTCAAAGAACGCATCCTCCTGCAAATACATTTTGTGTGTATGTATATATGTGTGCATGTGTTCATGTATGCAGGTGCACATGTGTGGGGGGTGTTTGCACATGTGTGTGTATATGGAGGCCAGAGGACTCCTCAGCTGTTGCTCCTCAGGAACTGTTCAACTCGCCTTTGTTTTCACTTTTAAAAATATTTTTATGTATTATTTTTATTTTATGTGTATGAGTGTATTGCCTATATGTACCTAAGTGTACCCGTGTCA